TCAACGTTTCAACCTATTCTCAATGTTGATACAACGTTGTTGTGCGAATGGGTAGAATCAATGTTGACAGGCAACGTGGTTTCAACGTTAGCTGCGTTGACGAAATGACGTTGAATCCACGTTGATTCAACGTGAGTGTGCTACTTGGGAATACACTAGGGTCATCTGTTCACAATCTGCTATTTTGGAGAATCATTTTACTTAAGGTAGCTTTGTGTTGATTATAATTATGGGTAAATATCAGTATTTCGAAAATATAAATCTGAGTAATTCTTTTTACAATTCCCAAAATTGTAAAAAGTTTAAAATTTTAAACTTAAAAATTTGAACAAGAATAATCTGAAACTAGCGGAGAAGTGATTAATTTGTCTGCTTCTTGTATTAAAAACAAAAATTGAAGAGTAAAGAATATGACCTGTGAGTATTACGGGGATATCTAACGCATAATGGTAGAAAATCATCCATGGGGCATCCCCAGGTGATGTCCCATAGACATGAAATCGCACAACTTGGTCCTGACCTTGAGACAAATCCCTCTGACAAATTTAAATATTCCACAATAGAGCGATCCACAGGATTGGACATGTTGCTTCTTGTTCATATACACAGGACAAGTATTCTCCGAATGTCCTGGAGAAAAACGAGAAAACTAAAAGAAAAATGAATGACAGCATCAAACGCGAAAAAGTGTCGCCTGTGCGTTAACTCCGTGCGTTTCTGCTCGACCACCATATCTTATCGACAGAAAGTGAACGGAGGAAGGACATGAAAGACTCCATTTCAGGCACAGCTGTCAAGCGGCAGCAGACCTACATGGTTATGCGGACTTTTCGGTTCAGAAGGTTACCTTTACAGATTTCGAGAGTGATTTAATGGGAATGGTACTGAAAAAAACAAGAGAAAAAAGCATTCCGTTTCTCACGCTCTGGAAACTCGGTGCGTCTAAAGAAACCAGCTGTAGGTTGTTGCTTCTGAGAGAGCATCTAGACCAATAATGTGACTTGCCTTTACTGAGGACCCTCAGGTTTTAAGTTTACTTTCTAGTCGCAGGATAGGGTGCAATCTACTGAGATCGAACGCCATTACCTTCTACCTGCGTTTCAGAATGATTCAAGAAGCATTTATCAAACAAGGAATCCGGACATCTTGTTATGCTGGTCTTGAAAATAGCAAGAATGTGTCAAATCATCGAGTTCGAAGGAGGACTTTATTCATTCTATTTTTTTTAAATGTGTTATGACAGTCGTATAGAACATAGGCACCGACTTTTAAAAAATATTGGGGGGGGGGGGGCAAGTTCCTAATGCCCCTGAAATAACAATGACACAATTATTTCAGGATCCATTCCATTGGGGTAGCTCAGTATTATTATGGTAGCATAGTGATGAGCGGAGGGGGGGGGGGGGGGTGCTGGGTATGGCCCTTCCATCCCTTACCCTTACGGGGTGACGTTGGTGACCTCCCCTAGTTGGAGTTCAAAACAGAAAGGAAAATCATATTTTTCGTTTCTTTCGTGAAGCAGCATTTTGTTTTCAATTTTCCATGTGCTATACTTTTGTTGAAATTTTGCCATTCTGGGGGGGGGGGGGCACGTGCCCCTTTGCTCCCCTGGGTTCGGCGCCTATGGTATAGGACCTAGACTTAAGATCGTTTCTTGACCATGATAATACATGGCGAACACACGTCGCAGATGTTCATTCGAGAATTTTAATTGTCTCATGGATGCCGTAGGGATGCTATCACCCTCCATGGGTATGGAACAAGGAATGGATAATCATAGTAATCATAAGTAAACCTATATGAAATGAAGGTCTACTGATTCCTACATTTTGATTTCGAATTATTTGCCTACACTCTTGATAATTGTATCAAAGCATCTTAGAAACAATATTCCAGTTCCCAACATAGATATGATATAAAAGTACACTGCTAGTACTGCTACGTAATTTCATGGTCAAATTTGTTCAGCAAGTCAAGAGAATTACTTCCAAGAATAAGTAATCATCCCTACATCGTTGCCACTGATGGAGTAACTTATACCATTTATCACATGGAATTTTGCTCATTATGCCATTAACTTCATGGCGTTTCTGTGAGAATCGTTGTCCAAGAGGCCAAAGCCCGAATGCTGAAACCAATTAAAACTACCTTTAAGCTAAATAGCTATTTTTCCCCAAAGGAGTCCATGGATTTATGACGGATATGAGGCTTCAGTCTTTGGACCTCAGTTTCTATGCCTTTTATCATCATCCCGAATAGATGTTTATTGTTCTAAGCTAGAAATTCTAGTGACACATAAGGAGGTGTTCTCCAGAGAAATTATGACAAATTGGATGCCACCAGCAATAGTTTCACAGAGGTGAATCAATATGCTATTAGTGAGCAAAAACTATATTTATTGGTGCTTCTAGTGCAGGAAAAATTTGACCATGAAAAAGTGCGTCAGGAATATTACACTCAAGTACACCCCCTCTTTGATCATTAATGTGAGTCAACAAAGGATGACTTGAAGTTAAAATCAGGCAAAAGGGTTGGTTAGCTTTATCCTTACACTTCATCCCAAGATACAAAGCCATAAAATACATTAAGAAACCCTTTTGCCTGAAAAAAAAACTATATAAATCAAAAGCAGTCTATCTCTCATTCCTTGACAAGAAGAGAATGACACAAAAATAAATTAATGGTCCTGCATTTCAAAAAGTCATTTTTCTTGCCTTTCACTTCATTATAAGAACAACATAAGGAAAATAAAGGGAACACTGACATTCACAAGCCATGACTGATGTTAATTGCAAACACAACTTCTATGTCTTCTCCTTCATATTTTGGGTTTTTTGTCTCTCCAAGACAATTTGACGACGTTGTAGAGCCAAAGCGTTATTCCTTCTCCTGTTTTGTTCTAGCTCTTCCTTAAGGCACCTGTTCATTGCAGTGTCTAGGCGGTTGCACACTCCAAAGTATTTCTTAAACTTGTTCTCCTTGTGACACTTCTGTAGCTCTGCTATCAATGTGTTGCATTCAGGAGAGTGGAGATGAGGGGATAGGTCAGGATGCATCACCTCATAAAACCAGTAACTCAACACATAGGTCCTGAACCAAGAACAAAAGGAACATCAAAATGTTTGTAGGAATCAGAACTGGATACAAAATTAAACAAACTTGGCAAGCCCAATCTAGCTCAATATCTCCTTCTCCTAAAGAAGGACTGTATATTATCAACTTATTAGACAAAAAATATAAATAACATTCTGATTATTCAGTCATTATATTATAATTATGACTATAATTATTTTAAAATCATTTTGTATACTACAGAAATCAAGGAAAGCAGCAGTGGTGTTTGGGGTGGTAGAGGGAGAATGTATGGAAGTGCAGGACTTGAAGGAAATTAGAGATCTTAGTTCAACATCAATCCCAACATCAGCTTTTTGCATGTACATACTAAATGCTCCTTTTCTTGCCATACCTGTACATTCCTTCAACACATCACCTCAGGCCCTTCTTGAGTGAGATGCTACGAGATTCAACCCTGGTTCAGTTGCCACTGCATTCTCTGCTCACTCATGTTATTCCTTGGGGTGAATTTGAAGAAATTAATTGATTCCACTACAATTGACCAGACACATGTCATGTGAACATCTAGGCACCATCTCTACTCTAGATTCACTCCTTTTTGCAGTGAGAAGTAAGAAAATTTTTTTACCTGCCTGGTGTAACAAAGTCTTAATCTCTTTCAGCATTTTTCTTCTTTTTGGCCTTGATGACAGGGTTTAACAGTCTATGTAGCATACTGCAGTATGAAAGGTGTGAAAAATAAACTTTAGGATCACTTTTATCGATTCCAGAGTGGAGGAGCTGGTGAGATGTAATATATAATCCAGTCTAGGAATATATTTTTTTAAAGACTCTATGGGGCTACTGGACCTACTTTCTGGAAGAAGGCTATCCCAGTTGAACACTGTTCTGTGGAAGAAGCAGTGCTAATCAAGGATTGTTCTGGTGAATATGCTGACAACAAAGCTTGGTAAGCTGTTATGAAGTCTGTTAGCAATTGTCAGCAAACACCCTCTACAGCAAAAGTAGAAAAAGATAGGACCACAATGCCTGATGGCAATTTGAGACAGAAAATTACTGGCCAATAAATGCTATATGTTCCCAAATATACACAGGACACATTTCCTGATAGAATGAAGACCCTGTTTTGAAAGTGACTGAAACTTGGTCATACTATTGAAGTGAAATGTTAACCCATGTCATGCATTTTCTGGTCTCTGTTACTCTTTGAAATAAATCAATGCAGTCATGGAGGTGTTCATCCTTAAGCATGACACTATCTGTTCAGAAAGCATGAGTAGTACACAAGCAATACCATGCATGTCATCTTCTACATGTATGTCATGAGAAGCCAAAACCCTCACAAATGCATTCAAGGTTACATGCAATAGAACTCATGACTTAGTACATAACAGAATTCATATACTGATGCTGGAAATAATTACTTAACATTGTGCTCAGAAATCTCTATATGTGGCAAGCATAGTGTGAAGTGACACATGAAATACTCTCTGTTTAGAGGGCAGGGTAGAGAAAGCTTTCATCCTGTTAATGTAACCAGTCTATCCAAATGCGATAAGCTGCATTAGAGATGAGATGGGCCAGAGATGATATGTCATAGCAAGTAGCTCCTCCATTGTTTCTGAACTGAATCTGCAACACTTACATTGGTTGAAAATTTTCCAAACATCCAAACTAATCTAAACACAGAGTATGCATGGATTATGCCAGAAGTGGCTACATGGTTTGTGCCTGAGGGCTTCATGAGCAGATGAATTTGTCTTGGGGATCATAGGTTGGCAACCCATAAGGTTCCATGGGTTCATTCCATTATTTTAGGCTAAGGCTTCTTACTAAGTAAGACTTCTTACTCCATGAAAGCTAGAATGGATCTAATAGAGAAAGGGCCATCAAGGACATTTAGCAACTGTCATACATTTTTACCACAGGGACCATTTTGTCCTATTCCTCATTTATGGCCGAAATGTCCAGGACCATTTTGTCTGGCAACCTGCAAATGGGTACTATTCTATTTTAGATAGACCATAATTACAAGGTGGTTTCTTAGTCATTTTTGCCCTTACTATACTTCATCTATAGGCAAGGTCTCCCGCTCCCACAGACATATATTACTTTTCCTTAAGAACAAGCCTTTCTAGGCATGGCAAATAGTTTGGCTTATGTTGGTTCTCTCAACCAAACTGTTTATTGAGGACAAAGAGCTCAAAAGATTCGTGTTATCGTACTTATGTGATTGCATTCCAGCGACTCCAAGAAATAAAACCGAGTCTTCTTGAATCAGATTCGAATAATTCCTCAGAATACGTCGTCGCTGGTAATGCAACCGAATAGGATATTAACACTCACTCCCTATAAATATCACGTGGAACCATGGGAATCACATGGAAGTCAGATGTCGCCGACCATGTTCAACGCAGTGATGCGTGAGTCATTTGCAGCTTGAATGCTAAGGCCCGAATGCACAAACCTTATTTAAGAGAGATAAATCTGATTTGATTTAGCTGAAGAGCTCTCTTGCCTCAATAGAATTCCATGCATTCTTAAAAGACCATTAACTGAAGAAGGTTTCAGCATTCGGGCTTAAGTCCTCTCTGTTCTGCAGAACAATTCGTCACGTCAGTTCAAAGAGGTTCTATCTAAAAGTCAGGAAAGAATTAGAATTAGAAAGAAATCACTTCAAAATTCAACATTCTCTAAAGGTTTCATGGAACCTGTGTGAAAAAGTGAAGCATTCACCATTTCCGCTTCAAGAAGGGTCTACTTACTCGCGCTCAATGCAACAGCAATACATCGTGGGGAGTGCTTTTAACATAGATCAGGGTGTGATACCTTTATTGGCAGTGGCCCGCAAGAAAATGACTCTTCACGTCGGCAAAGAATACAGAAGAGGTTCCCCTCATATGCCCTCAGGGCGTGCAGTAAACCGTGTGACGCTAACCAAGGTCGCGCTGATTGAACGACGATCCTAACCCCTTCCTCGCCCTTGGAAATTCCAACGTCCAAAAATAGCCTTGAATTGAGAACCTCTTTTCTTGGGACATTTACCACATCGTGGGCTGACAGACTTGCTCTAATTATAAAGGGATTATCAAAGTTATGATGGACCGTGGGCTGCAAAGGAACTAATTTTATGCTATCCCATTACACATTACCGGACCGCTAGAAGTAGGTAGGGTTGCACACCCCTGGAGTCTATACTGCTACGGATTGATCAATTTTCATTTACATGAAAGTCAAATATAACCATGTTGAACTGAGGTGACGAATTGCTGTTCCTGGCAGTGGCGTCCCCGAAAGAGGAACTCTGGTCTGGACACACCCCAACCCCCTTTCCCGTTCGTCAGTCAATTAATGATAAGTCCTCCCCTCCTGAAATTCTATGTACGCTATTGATTTCTGGACGAGTAGCTGGGGACGTGAATGTGCATAACATATGTTGCATTGATGATATTGTTCAGGGAAAATATTCAGTTTCGTGATCGAGGTCTTAGCAGAAATCCAAAACACCAAAACCATCACCACCTCTGCCAAGATGTCGACTGGATTGGTATGGTGGTGACATCTCTTCATCATCTTTGTCTTCCAAAATTAATTGGACCTAAGCCAATACGTATTCCCTAAACCTTTGCTGTTCCGGTAATCGTCTACGGTGTGACCCACCGCAGTATCTATGGTCTACGGTGTGACCCCCCGTACTATATGCATCTAAGGTGTGACCCACTGCAAAATGTAGCTGTACCGTATAGCTGCATGGACAGCTGTGCCCACGCTTTCAACCAATTGGGCCTCTACAGCCCGTTGCTAATTGACTGATCATTGCAAAGACACACACCACACCCTCGCCCCTGTTTGGCGCTGAATTAACGATATATAGCGTAAACAACATGCACTTTCTGTCTTTCGCGTTTTGCTTCACCTGTTCCTGTGCAGACACTGGAGTAAATACATATTATTGTTTTCCCCTTTTTACTTGAATATATCGATTCCATTCATGGTAACATAAGTTGTTCGTGTTCTTGTGAACAGGCCATGCTTGCTCGCGAGTTTTATGCACTCATTATGAGTGAGGAGAGTGCTGTCGCTTGGTTACAGGCGCAAGGCGTA